GGCCCAGTGCTCGGCCCATCCCAGCCTCTCGCTGGCCGGCCGGGCAGAAGCGTTCAGGAAGAGGGTTAGGGGCGCGCGGCTGCCATCGACCTGCGGACCTTCCCACGGCCGGGCGGCTGCCCTTCTCCGGAGGCAGAGCGGGTGCAGCAGGGCTCCCGGGGCTCCCGGCTCCGGGGGTCTCCTCAGCGTGGCCAGGGCGGACCCGGCTTCCTGCCTGGCTGCTGGGACTCATCGGCTCCATTGCTTGGGAATTAAAACCTTTAACACGATTCAACGTTAAATCAATTTTAAAATACATTTTCCAGACGCCTGCATTCCGCCGGGAGTCCGCCAGTGGACAGCTGGTTCCCGTGGGTTCTTTTGGCCCCGCTGCTCCAGGACAGGGTGGGCTGGACTGAAATAAAAGGCAACATGCAAGCCAGTCCCCGCGGCTGTGGCCCGCAGGCAGACAGCCTTTTGGGGGCTGGGAGAGGCACTTCGCCAAGGTCCAGGCCGCTCTTGGCCTTCGGCTCCGGGAGGCAAAGCTCCGGGAGGGAGGGGGCAGAGTGTGCCGTGCCTTTGGGGTGACACCCAGCCAGGTGCCCTCCCCACTCCGCTGTGGCTGTGGCCACTGGGCACTCCCCTCCCGCCAGCACACCCCGCCCCTCCCGTTCCCTGGCAGGTGGGTGGGTTTTTAAAAGGGGCATGGCCCTGGCTGGTTTGGCTCAGCGGATAGAGCCTCGGCCTGTGGACTGAAAGGTTCCAGGTTCGACTCTGGCCAAGGGCATGGGCCTCAGTTGCGGGCTCAATCAGGTGCGTGCGGGAGGCAACCAATCGATGTGTGTCTCTCTCACATGGATGCTTCTCTCTCTCTGTCTCTCCCCTCCCTACACTCTGAAAAATCAATGGGAAAATATCCTCGAGTGAGGATTCACAGCAACAAAGTAGCATGGTGGACAAAGAGCCCAGGTCGGGCTGCTCGTTGGTTACAGCGTCGTCCTGACACACCAAGGTGGCGGGTTCGATCCCCAGTTAGGGCACGTACAAGAACCAACCAATGAGTGTATAAGTAAGTGGAACAACAAATCAATGTTTCTCTCTCTGTCCCTCTAAAATAATAATAATCATAAAAAGAAATATGACAAAGAGACAAAAGACAAAACGCCCTTCATTCTCCTCAGAGGAGCCGGGCACTCCTGGGTCTGAGTGGTGCTGAGGTCACGGCCTCACGGTGGCAGCAACACGGCCACATACGTGCTTCGTGCCTCAGCGATGGCTAGGCGAGCTGTGAGGGCTGCGGGGCCGCCGGGGCCTCAGCACCAGCTCTGCCCGAGAGGATCACACCTCCATCAGAGAAGACACGCAGCAACCGTAACCCAGCAGCCCGGGCAGGTGTGCAGAGACGGGCATATGTGAGATATCACAGGTGGTTAGGACAGGAAACGAAAAGACTGGGGTTTGGAAGGGGTGGTCCGGCAGGTGCCATGTAGGCTAGGATTGGGTTTCCTGTCATCGGCCGGGACGGGGAAGGGCGCCTATGCCTCCCCAGCCAGACCACTTCTGTGGGTACAGGCCATGCCGCCCGGGTAGCTGGGCGGGGCCGTGTCTGTGCACATTTGGAGCAGAAAGGCCCCGATCTCGCAGGCACCCTGCGAACGCGATCCCTGCATTATCCTGGCGGCGACAGTGAACAGCCCTCCTTTGCAGTCAGACTTCACCCACTGATGGCAGTGACCGTGTCCCGCTGTCCCTGCCCGTCATGTGCTCTAATCTTTTCCTGGACCCGGGCCCGTTTGGAGGGCCAGCTCTGCCGGGCACTGCTCCGAGGGCTCGCCTCCCCCTCATCACGACCCTCAGGGGTGCTGCTCGATCCCACTTTCCAGGTCAGGGGACAGGAACTCTCGTCACAGCCTGTCTCATGGTGGGAACTGAATGCTGGTTTTTGTCTCCCGCAGAGCAGCCTCCTTTAACTTCTCTAATAAGTTAGATCGGAGAGAGATTCTATAAATTCCTTCACCTCTGCTTCTGGCAGGAGGCCAGCATGCCTCACAGCACATATAATTGGGGATGGCCTCAGGCAGGAAGACAAATCCAGCTTGTGCCCCACAGGCCCCAGGTGCAGGGTGCAGGGCGCAGTGCTGTGCCCGCGGGGAGGGCTGCTCAGCTCACCTCGCAGTGCCAGCCCTGTGGGTGCATCCGGGCTCCATCTGCACCCCCAGCTGGATGCAGGCAGCACAGCCACCTGCAGGCAGGTGCCAGGTGCCAGCGCTGGTCCTGATGGTCAGCACCGGCCCACGCTAGCTGTGCTGAATATCACCCCACCAGCTCCTTTGGCCGAACTCCCCCCTCAGGCCACTCCAGACACTGGGCCTGGCGTGAGGGCGGGTGTCTCTCAGAAGGCTTTCCAGGTTTGGGAACGGCACGTGGAGTAGGCACATCGCCCGCCTCCAGGAGCGAGCATCCCGGGCGAAGCCATGGCGCTCCCCAGGTGCGTGGTCACCTCGTCTGCTCACGCTCCCTTGGGGTCTACCGCATGTTCATCCGCTCCCTGCAGGTCAGGCTGTGGGGCCCCACTCTCCACGCTGCCTCTCCATGACCCACCCTGAGACCCAGGGACAGGAAACCCGGGGCTCTGATGGCAGCCCAGTGGTGTCCAGCTCAGTCCCGGACCTGTGTCCCCAGGAAGGATTTGGGATGGGAAGAATGGACATGGCCACTCACCAGTATGGACCCCCATCAGAATCTAAGCTGCTGTGGGCGGAGCTTGTCTGTCAGCTCCTGCGGGTTCCCGGCCCACAGCCCCAGCAGCTGGGCCGCGGGTGGCGGTCGTTACTTACTTGTTGGATAGATGCATGAAACCACTTCCCTCCTTGCACTGAACTGAACTCAGTAGGACCTTTGATTAGACAAATGTTGGGAAACTTCAGCCTGGGGCACCTGGGGAAATACCATCGGAATATACTCATTTAACAAGACTTCCCGAGAGCCAGCTTCTACCAGCCCCTGCACGGGACCCTGCGGACACTGCACAGCCCGGCTCATGGAGCTCCGTCCTGCTGGGCACGGGGAGGAGGGGATACACACGCACACCAGGGATGATAACGCTAGAGGGAGAACTAAACCTGAAGGAAGAACTGGGAACTTCAGGTGGTGGTGGTGGTGGCTGGTGGGGGGAGGGGGGTGTTGTGGGGGGCGGGGGGCGGGAATAAGTTTTAAGTAAAAATCATGTGGCCAGGGGGAGCCTCACAGAAACGAGGATGATTGAGCAGAGATTTGAGGGAGGCAAGGGGTTCACGCATATCTACCAACTATCTAATTGCCTGTCTATCCATCTATGCAGGCAATCACCCATCACCTACCATCTAGTCACCTACCCACCTAGTCATCTATCCATCTAGTCATCTATCTATCATCTATCCATCCATTTATGCAGGCAATCACCCATCACCTACCCATCTAGTCATGTATCTATCTACCGATCATGTATCTATCTATCTATCTATCTATCTATCTATCTATCTATCTATATCTATCATCTATCTATCTATCTATCTATCTATCTATCTATCTATCTATCTATATCTATCTATCTATCTATCTATCTATCTATCATCTCTATCTATCTATCATCTATCTATACAAAGAGGTGGAGAGAATTAAATCTATCTATCTATCTATCTATCTATCATCTATCTATCTATCTATCATCTATGTATCTATCATCTATCTATAGCTCTATGTGTATCTGTATCTATCTAGCATCATCTCCAGGCAGAGGACAAAAGAGGACTGGAAGGAATAGAAGAGACATCTGTTTCTGGAGGGCACGAGCAGCACTATAAGTCAGAAGCTTATCTGGCTTTCCTTTCTCTTGTTGAACGAGGTGGGGCATTTTCTAAGGGTCCCATCAGTTCATGGAATCCTTCTCTGGGCGAGCTGGCACTTGGGGAGGTCTTGGCCGGAGGGTCGCTCCGGTGGCCCGCGACAGCTCTCTCCCGGTGACACCCGGCTTCCTAGAAAGGGCTGCGGCTCCTGGAGCTCCCCTGGGCCCGTCTTGCATTCGTTACATGGCGTCTGGCTTCCCTCCGTTGCTTCCTTGAGAAGGGGTCCTCCATCCATGCAGTTTGACGCTCGTGGTGGCAGGAGATTTACTGGGCCTTGGCTTCCTGGTCCTTGCCTGGGTCCTGACGGGGAGGGGCTCTGTCCTCCGCGCTGCCGGCAGCAGGCTCCTCCTGCTCCCATGGCAGCTGCTAGGTCCCCCTGAGTGACCTGTGGGCCCCTCTCCACTCCATCCCTGCCGAGAGCCGAGAGCCGGGAAGGTCCTGGAGTCAGGCTCCAACCGAGTCCCCAGGAGTTGGTTTCCCTCTTGCGGTCTCTTCGCTCTGCCCTCTCTCAGCCTGGCTTCGCTTTCAGGTGGGTCCTCTTTGATGGCAGCACCATCAGCATTAGATGTACAGCCAGACATTTTAGCAATGGAGAGAGAGAGAGAGAGAGAGAGAGAGAGAGAGAGAGAGAGAGAGAAGAGAGGGAGAGAGGGGGGAGGAGGGAGAAGGGCCGAGGGCTCTCTGTGCCTGTGTGCTTGCATGCCCAGGGGACAAACTCTCTCCACAGGTATGCCTGTGAGCGCTCTGAGCGAAGGAGGAAGGCGCAGAAGGGATGTCTGTGGATGTAGTGGTTGTGTGATGTGTGACCTGTACATTTGGGGCCCACTGTGCATGCATGTTGGTGTGGTGGAAAGAGACTCTGTGTCCCTGCTGTGAGCAGGTAGAGACCCGGTGAGAGGGAGGGAAAAAGAGGGAGGGAGGGGGGGAAGGAGAGAGGGAGAGAGGGAGAGAGGGAGGGAGGGAGAGAGGAAGAGAGGGAGGGAGAGAGAGAGGAGAGAGAGAGAGGGAGAGAGATTATCTTTCCTGGTCGTGCCAGCAAAGGCCCCTGGAGTTGCTGTGAG